GAGTTTTTCAAAGCCTGACCCCTGGACCCCTGAACCCTTGTCTTTCCGCTTATCTGCGTGACAACTGCATTTCAATTCATAACAATTAAGTTGAACAACAGGCGAGGAAACTGCTCTGAGCGGCGAATGAAAACGGGGCGGGGGGAGAAAAAGATTGAGGGGCGGCCACTGCGTGAATTCTAATCGACGACAAGGTTAACGGGTTCAGCCATGTTTTTTACTCGATTCCCCCCAAAAAACTACTTTCTGAACAAAACACCTTATCAGGCCAGGAAAGTAAGTGCGATGACAGCGCCACAATTCCAAACGATACCCTCGATAAGGATACGCCCCAAGCGACTGCCAATCCTCTTTCCAAAAGTAACCTTAGTTTTAAAATTCTTTTGAAAAATAATTAAATAATAAATAATTTTCCCACTACAATCCCCTTTAGGATTGTTAAATTTTTTCCAATTTCTTGAGGGTAAGGGTATTCGAAATTCGTTTAGTTCTGGTTGACAACACTTATTAGTTTCGCTCGTTTCACGCTCTCCTAAAATGAAGCGATCAAATTGTAATTACACCCGATCTCCCACTTTTGATTTATTGATTGCGGCAGATTTATGCTCAGGGTCAGGCGACCATCGCATCGATAAGGCATGCGATAGTTTTCCCTATCCCTATCCACTTTAAAAACTACATATACTTGTCTTGTGGAGTTTTATCCCCTGTATTTGCGTTTCGTCTGCTGCTGCACTTCCCCCGGGATCCTGGTGCGGGGTTTCGGGCCTCGGATCTTAATGACATGGCCATTCATTTTGGACCAAAACGAGACGGGAGTGGGCGTTACCACTAACTGACAGGCTAAAACAAACGGGCAGCGTGTTTACGAGGACTTGGGACCGTGGTTATGCCTTCATAAATTGTTTTATTATTATATAGACTTGATATATGGCCCAGCCACTTGGGCAGTCAGTCTGGGCCTGTCAGTTTATTGGTTTAACTAATTTGCCCCGATCCTACTGCCCGATCCTCTGTGTGTGTGGGTAATTAACGTTTATAATGCAGCTGCCTTTTGTTCCTTTATTTGTTGTCCCTGTCTCTGTCCGAGTTGGCAAAGTTGCCCCCAGTTACCTTTTTTGATGGGCTCACGAATTTGTCAAATACCCAAACGATGTACATCTGTAAAGTGCAAAAAATGTAAGAAGAAACGTTCCCTTTTCTCAATGCAATTTGCATGAAATTGTCATTCAATAAAATTCAAATTAAATGCAAAGCAAAAGCTGGCCGAAACAAATAAATCAACTGGACGTAAAGACAGATGTTCGCTAGGCAAATGATGTAAGAATGATGATGTTGAATATGCACCCCTTTGCGAAGCTATCGGAAATCCATTGGCAATGTGTTGACAAAGATTAAGGATACCAAAAAAAATAAGAAAAAAAAAAACGACAGCAATTTTGTTGTCACAAAGCCAAACTGTCAACGGATCCCCAGCCCCTATATCTTTCCGAACTCCCCGTTCTACCAATTTTCAGTTCCCTTTGGGCCAACTGCAGGTGCTACTTTAATCCCCGCGCCTTGTTGACAAAAAAGAGGAACCACGAATGCGTTTTGCAAGCCAGCCTTTGTTGGTTTTTATTTTATTTATTTTCTCTGTCGGCGTCTGTTGCCTGTTGTCCCTCCTTCTGTTTGTCCCCCATATCATCTCCAGTGCAGCCTCCTTCCCTTGTTTTTCTTCGGGTTTTTGGGCTGCTGTTTGATTGACTATCTGATAATGCATTGACGCTTCTAAGGCAGGTCCGCTGCCTCACCTTTCACCTGTGCCATCGAGATCGCTGTGCACAGGTGCGTTAATAGACGCCGAGAGGATCGAAAAATGTCCAGAGGACACAGGACACAAAACACAGAACGCAGAACACAGGACGCTCGGCACAGGATACACAGATGTCACCTGCGGGTCCGCTGATGGCATCGCTAATCGATTACATGGGCACCGCAAGCATCGAAGATTTAGATAAGTGCAGGATCCACTCTGCCGGTGACGAAAGGTCAATTTTGTAAAATAAAATACTTTACAAACACGTTATGATTGAAGGTCCAGCTAAAACGAGTTGGTTTCTTAACAAGATACTTTGTATCATAGGGGGAAACTGTAATAGTTTTATACTATTCGTTGGTTCAAGGCCAACCGATAATTATCATAACTTTTTTGCTCAGAAGAAAATATGTTTTCAGCAGTTAATTAACACATTGTTAAGTGAGCACTTGAATGTTTATTTAAATGCGTGCTTCATACACACTAAGCTAGTTGTTTGTTATTTCCTATAGTGCTTATCAAATTATACACGTTGTCTGGTTTGAATAATTTATGTGGCCTGACCTTTGGCTTATTTTAGTTTAAAAAAAAGGATAAATATTTTGATTAATTTCTGGACTATATCCTCAAAAACTTATTTTGTAAATGGATATAAAAATTAACATTGCTGACCCTATTTTATCTTCTCAACTTTACTCTCAGCTTTATTGTTACTTCCACTGCTTATCCCTCATTTCGATCTTTACCCTGTTTTTTTTTTTTTTCTGAGCCCAACCCAATTACAACTCAATCGTTGAACATTTTATTTTCGGGCCGGGCTAATTGATTAGCCATTAACCCCTATGTGGGTCTGACGAGGCTAAGGACAACTGAGCGACACCTTAGCACTCGCACAAACAACAGGGCTCGGAGTAAAATACAACAACGAGAAATAACACGGAGAACGCACGGAGCCTTAATTAAGCTTAATTATGGGCTCATGGGCTCCTTCTCCTTGGCGCTTTGCGTTGCCAACTGCCTTCAACACTTTTGGCCGGGGGAAATTGAATTAGCCGTGGTGGCTCTCCGTTAAAATGTGTGTGGCACAAAACAAACAGCGCTGGGTGCTCTGGTCTCTGGTCAAAAGGTGCAAGTTTTACACGTAACGATTTGCACGAACCTGAATCTCGGTCTCGGTCTTTTGGCCAGAAGTCTCTGGCGTCTCAGCGCGCAGAGCCTGTGGAACCAACACAAACGAGAGCAAATCGTTTTGTTGTCGAGCAAGCAGCCAGGCTTTTGCAGTCCACCAGAAAACCAAAAAAAAATAACCCAAGGAAAAAGAAAAAAAAAACGAAATACGGCGTGTGGGCCCAGGAAACTGGCTGCAAAGTCGGCCTCGCTTGGGGCCATGTCTCTGGTCTTGGTTTGGTCTTGGCCTGGTCCCTGGTCTCTGGCCATAACAAGCTGCCAACAACTGGCGCCAAGTGCTCAATAATGTTAACGAGCTATTCAGTTAAGACAACACACACACACTCTCTCAAAAAAACAAAAGCCCAGGCAGCGAGAGAAAAGTAAGAAAAAAAAAAAAAAAGAGTCCAAGCCAAAAGCCAAAAGCAAGGCAAGGCAGCAGACAGACGTGCCTTCGTTCCTGGCAAATAAAAAATAATTTGCAGTCGAAAAAGGCTGGCAGACGCCCCCCCTCCCCCCTCTCGCAGAAACCACCTCCCCCAATCCCTCCGTGAAAAAGGGGGTGCGCTCTCCTCCAAATAGAAACATCCTCGGTTCGGGGCTCGCCCTCCTCCATCCATCGACTCCACCGTTCGGTTCGGTTCTGTTCTGTTCTGCTCTGCTCAGACCCGTCCAGTCAGTCAGACATCACTCAGCTTGTTAGCCCTCATTCCACCAGAGACCCCCGGTACACCTCCCAGGTGCCCAGGTGCCCCGGTATCCACCGATGTTTGTTGGTTTTTATCAAAATGCAGTCGCAGCTGATGATGATCTGTGAACATGAACAAGACGTTCGTTAAATTTGATTCATGAGGCGCTCTCGCTCCGAGAGGCCCAACTTGAACCTGAATCCGTTGCTCCGAATGGATACTGCAAAAAAATTTTGCGTTTTTTTTTTTGGCAAAAGAAATTCTCGCTTTTCCAATGACTAATAATTTATTTAACCATTTATAGCAAAACAAATGTATTATTCCCAGAACCAGTTGAGAATTATAGGGTCTGTGAACTAAAAAATACCTCTAAGCTTTACTTTCTTTTTCAAACAACTTAGGGAAAAGACTTCCTTTGAAGGATCGCCCTTTTGGCTCAGTGCATCCGTGCTGAACCTGAACCCGAACAGCGATTGAGTGATTGCTACTTAAAGTTATAATTTTCATATTTATGCCCGTGTGTGTGCAGGGCGAGATCTCCTCTGGCCGGAGGAGCCTCCTCTGTCTCTGGGTTCCTTTTTGGGTGGATTGCTGGCTGGATTGCTGGACTATTGGACTGTTGGGCTGTTGAGCTGCTGGGCTGCTGGGTTGTTCGGATGTTGGGATGTTCCGAGGGACAACGACATCGCATCGGATCGGAATCGCCTGTGTGTGTTCTCCCTTCTGGCCGGGGCCATGTAATTTTCGAGTTTGCACATTGCCACCAACATGGCTAATCAACCCGGCTCGCTCGTTCCTTCTCTCTCATTCATTCAGTCAACGGCTGGCGCTGCTTTTTGCGCTGCTGCTGCCTCTCTTTTTAGGCCAATTTGAATCTGAGTGGCGGGGTGCTGGGAGTTTTGGAGTCGAGCCGAAACAATTTGTGGCTTGGCGCCACTTGATAGCCCGACTGGTCTGGGGTTTTGTTTGCTTTTTGGCCAGGCCAACTCGTAGTCCGAATCAGATAATGATGATGATGATGATTGTGCGAGTGCCAGTGCCAGTGCCAGTGCGAGTGCGACTGTGGTTAGCAGCCGAGATCTTCGGCGGATCTTGTGGCCCCGAAGGTGGACCCCTGAGAACCAGATCGTGGTCTTCGGATCTTCGGGTGTTCGAGAGCTGGGGCTCGGCTCGGCTCTATGGGCCGCACTGATTAATGTTTTATTTGATTAGCCCGGGAAAATGACTATACCCCTGCCAACTGCCCACTGCCTGCTGACTGCTGCCCACTGCCAATATCCTAACCGTGGACACACCCATCTCTAATCCCTCATTTCGCTCATCTCTCTTTTCTCTTTTCGTTGCAGACAAATGTTTCCGCAAATGAAATTTCGTGTTTCGGGACTGGATGCCAAGGCTAAATACATCTTGCTACTGGACATCGTGGCGGCGGACGATTATCGTTATAAATTCCATAATAGGTGAGTCCCAAATCCGAATCCCCTCTTCCTGCAGATGTGAAGATCTTATGATCGTCTAACAATCATAATTACAGTCGCTGGATGGTGGCTGGGAAAGCGGACCCCGAGATGCCAAAACGCATGTATATCCATCCAGATTCGCCCACAACGGGTGAGCAATGGATGCAGAAAGTTGTTTCATTTCACAAATTAAAATTGACCAACAATATTAGTGATAAACATGGATTTGTAAGTACTGTACGTCTTCTTTGTTTACCGCATTAGTTATCTAAGCTACACACCACCAAACCCACAATAACAAATATACAAAATCCAAAACTCAACGATGCCAAGATGTATTGCTTAGTAGGTAGTTAGGTATTTCACTCTATTATATCTAGGTTTTTATTTTAGTTTTTGCTTAGAAGTTTTCACTACTTTATTTTCTATAAGTATTTCCTGGGGTTCGGTTCCTGAAAGTAATTAACTTATTCGACAATGAAGCTTGAAGGAGAGAAGAACTCCGCTGCTCCAACGGAACTGCAGCAGCACATCAAAGCAAACTTTATCTAGGCCCCATATCAAAGAGCCTGCGCCTAACACTCTGCACTTCAAATATCATCTCCGCCAGTAACCCCATCCATACTCGATCCCCTTTTTTTTCATTTTTTTTTTCTTGCTTATCAATGCAAATTTGCATGGCATCCGACTCGTTTTCGCCTGACTTTCTCGGGCCTGCACTTTGAAGTACTCGCTGCAGTCTCAAGTCTTATCTAAAACTTCTCACACGCATAAAGCGGATGGATAACCATGGGATCGGGGATTCTGGATCTGAAAAGTGGGGAACGACAAAAGGGGGTGGGGTGGGGGGCGCCAGGCAAATTGTCGACGGACTTTTGCATTTGAAGGCCACGCTCGCGCGCTTCTTTGACTTTGTAGTTGTGCCGACGCCGATCGCGTAAATTTCATCAACTGCTGGGCAAATTTTCATTTTTATTGATCGGACGGTGGACGGTGGGGCCCACCCGTTGTGACTGTATATATATATATATATATACTATATACATATATATGTGCACTCGCTCTCTCCCTCTTTCTCCTATGATCCATGATCATTATGATCTTGGGCGGGCGCCATGTGGTTCTGCATTTTTTGTCATGTCTCCGCCTCTTTTCTTTCTTTTTTTTCGGTTTTTTTTATTTTATATCTTGGATCGTTTTGCATGCCGAGTCATAAATCGCACAGCGAACAAGCGGCGGATAAGGGCTTCCCCTCCACCTTCTGCCCGTCGAGATGTACACCTCACCTCTTCCGATCCAATACGATCCGATCCCCGATCCCCGATCCCCAATCCCCGATCCCCGGGACAATTGGACAATCCGTGTCTCGTGTCCGGCGGTGTGCGTGGGCCTCCGCCTAAGTAGCCTGTGTTGGCCATTAATTTCGCTTAGTTCAAACGCCGAAATGCCGACGCTGCGTGTGGTGTGGCCAGCGATTCCGAATCGGTGTCCGAATCGGAGGGGTACTTATTTAATCAAGGGGTTCTCCATATATATACTGGATATTCGTAGCCAATATTTCAATGAAATATAGTGAGGAAGAAGTGCGGGCAGAAGAACTAGCGTTGGTTAACGAAATCTATTTAACTTTGCTCAATAAACTTCAAACTTGATTGGACAAATTTTGTTAAACTAGGCTTGATCAACCGCATAATCAAGAGCCTGCAAAATATTGTTACATACGGTGCAATTACATTTAATTAGTTCGGTTTCCAATAAAAGCTGCGGTAGAAAGGAGTTAATAGCTGAGAAACATGTATTTTATTTTCCAAGAAAGAAAACAAACTACTTGGCTACGGGAACCCTTGGCGGTAATGGCCACCCCAACCCAATAGGTAAATTAATATGTAATTTACTCGAATATCGGAGATAATGCGGTTTAACTTTGATAGTTTCTGGAAACAGCAACAACCCCTGTGTGTCGCCAGCTGTTGGCGCTCTCAAAAGCGTTATAATCATATAATCACGGGATAGCGAGGACCCGAGCGTTATTAAAGTCTATAATTTAACACTTTTTGCGGTCGCGGGGTCATCGGGTATGGGGGGTATCGGGGGTATGGGGGTGGAGGTCGATGGTGGGCGTTGGGTCAATGGGTGATTTCAGTGCTGACTGCTTCTTGCTGGCTGCGTGTCAAAACAACAGCGGCAAAGTCGCCGTCGTCGTCGTCGGCGGGCCTTTAAAGCCGCAATTCCGTAATTGTGGCCCACCATTGTTCAGCTGTATAAATATATATATATAGAGCCAGTCAGCGATTCATTTGGATGAGGAGGAGCCCCCAAAGCATTGCGGAAACGGAAGCGGCTTTTCATACATTGAAATGCACTTAGCGGGCGGTAGAAAACGCGCGCGTTTTTAAACGCCCCTTGCACTCCGCATTCTACACTCCATATATATTTGTATGTGTGTATCGCACAGAAACGAATGACTCTGTGTGTGTGCGTGTTAGTCGGCCATGTTGCCGCAAAGAGCCACCCTAATAAGGTATAATGAACCACCAAAGGGTCAAAGGGGGTGGGTTAACGGAGGGTGGGTTGCAGGCGGCAGGAAGGTGTCGCCTAATGCGTTTAATTGTTGCAGCTGAAGTTGGTTACACTCTCTACTCCAATTAGCAGCCCCAACTCCATGCTTTTTCGGCGCAAAAGACCTGTCTGCAAAGGGGGCGAGATGTCACATAATTTGAATAGACTGTCGCAGCAAAAAAGAAAGGGTTCTCAGAAGAAGCAAATAAATTAAAAAGTCTTAAAGAAGAAGGAATTTATGTAATCAATTTAACTCAATCATTTCGAATTATTAATTTTATTTTTATACTTTGTTCTTCGGTGTCGCAGGAAACACATTTATAAGTATTTTTCTCGGTGTGCTTAAATTCAGCCAGTCAAAGTCGAGAAGGGGGCAGAAAAAGATGTGAGAACGGGAGGAGGTGGGGAAGCACATGTCTGCTGCCATTAGTTTCCACATAGTTCAAAGCATAGTTGGCCATCTTCTGTGCCCATTCAACCATGGCCAAGTGGTCTCGAGCATCCCAACTACAGATTCCCAGGTCCCAGATCCCCAGATCCATCCTCCATCCCAGCAATCGGCAGCAGACGAAGCGAAAAAAATTGTGTCCGAGGAGAGGAACTGAAAACGGATCGGGTTGACAAACTAAACTCAAGTGGAGTTCCATTTCCGGACACGAACACGGACGCAAATCAAATTAATTGAGGCGCAAGCACACACACACACACACACACACGCAGGCACACACATTCGGGAGTCCTTCAACCCATCCTTTCGAATATTTCCTTTACCAACCTCAATCTCGGGCAGCGTTCTCTGGTGGTTTTCTTGAAACAATTCGCTTAGAAAATCAAAGGCGGCCCGCAACTGCACGTGTGTGTGTGTGAGTGAGTGTGAGTGTGTGTGTACGTATATGGGATTTGGGATATGGACTGTGGGATATGGGATATGGGATATGGCCAATTTGTCTGCTTTAGACGCGCTCTTAAAGGCCATCCCGGGGTCAGGTAGTTAGGTGTTGCCCAAAATACAATTTGAAAGGCCCTTTTGAAGTTGACAGCCTCCGTTCAGATTCAGATTTAGACTCAGACTCAGACTCAGGCGCAGATCCTTGCTGTCCTTGCTATCCTCGTGGCTCGTGGTCTCAGAACGAAGAAGGACGAGGAGTAAGGAGTAACGGTTCTGCGCCGCATTACTTTGAATTGAAGTGGATTGGAGTGGACGGAATGCTCATTGTGCCACCAATTAGGCTTGGACAAAGTCCTGGCTGCCGTGACAACCACCTTGATCACTTAACTGCGAATCGATTAGCTATTTCGATGAAAGTGAAGTGTTCCAGAGACCGTTAAGATATGTATCTTTAATAATTGAGTTAAAACAGTAGAGTGGGATAAAAAGTTAAAGCATGTTTTCTTCTTACTTGTGAGATAATTTCTTAGCTTATGAGAAAGTTTTCATTGCTTAACAAGTATACAATAAATTATGAAGTTGCAAGAAGTATATCCCCAAAAGAAAGCTTATTGTACATTGATTTCTAAAGCTAAACAACATTTGTGTGTAATTTGGCAGTTATTTTTCTTGCTGATGAGGAGTATCATGATTTGAATCATTCGAAGTAGATGAATTAATTCGTTTGCCATCGATTTGCGATCGCTACTCTCCGCTTTTATGGTGAATGGTTAGCAGTTGGGTTCTGGTGGTGCATCCCCTCTGCAAAAGGCAGCCCTCGAAACACTAAGCCAATAATGAGGATGCTTCCTACCTCTCTCGACCGATGATGATATTCCCGGGTAGCTGCTGCTGGTGCAACCACAAGTACGCCCTACCCTTGTTCAACTTTTTGGGCCCAAGTGCCCGTGTATATGCGTGTATATATAAATGTCTGATTTCTTATCTAGTGCCTAATGCCACCGCTATCGGTCGACCATATCACATCATGCGGTGCCCGAGAGTCCCGCGACTCGAGACCAAAAGGGTATCAATGGCTGGCTATCAGTGTCGATCAGATAGATTAGGCCTGCTGTTCTGCTGTTCGCTCGCCGTTTGGCCAAGTGAAAGGAGGCAATATCGCCGGCGCGGCGACGACAGCAGCCCAACTTTTTTCTTCTTTTATTTTTTTTTTCGCAACAGCTGGTTATTTCTGCCGTCCGTCCGTCCGTCGTCGCCCGCTCGTTTTATAGAAGAAACTGGTCTGGGCCATCAATCATTCAACTGATGGAAGCCACACGCAATTTGCCGGAGGGCGTAACTCGGTTTGGAGCATGGTAATGGGATTGGGAACAAAGCCAGGTGAGCGGGGCGCAGATTAAGTTGGCGCTTGTGATTGGGAAATCATTTTTAGGTGCTTATAACTCCAGAAAAGCTTGCAAAAATGCCTCTGCAAGATTTTATAGATCCTTTTTAAGTGAATCATTCAATAATCAAATTTTTAAGTCGAAAAACGACTAGATTACTGAATTATGTTGTTCCAAGTAATTGAAAAAGTAACGGAAAATAGGTATAAAAATATATTTTCCGACTTTATTTAAGTGGTGCGAAAAGTTCAAAAGCAGAAAACCACTCGTGAATCGATCGAGGATGTCCTTGTAAAATCCCAAAACTCTTAAAAACCCTCTGTTTTTTCCAGGAATTCTCCATTTAAAGTGTTGACTTTAAGGTCCTTGAATTCGGAAGCGAATACGTCACAAAAAAACAGAAA